CCCCCCCCCCCCCCCCCCCTGGTTTGCTCATTTACGTATGCATATGTGTTTCGTCGTTCGTTGTGTGAAGTGTGAAGGCTCGTATAGGGCGGTTTCGCCGTTTTTACCTTTCTTGTTGCATCGCGGGTCCGACCGACCAGATAGGCTTTTCCCCACATCTCTCTAGTTTGCTACTGGTTGTTTTTTGCGATTTCGGAAAGCCCCAAAAATATTACTGCTGTAGGAACATATTTCTGGTGTGTCGTCCAAAAAGAGAGGAACTGAAGCCCTCGAACTGAAGCCCTCTCTTTGGCGTCTGCCTGGCCTGCGTGGATGACAGCTCCGAGACGACGACAAACTGCTCCATTGTTGTGTACCTGTCGATGGCTTGGAGGCGACGTGGTAGGGAAAAATAAACATAACGCGGAATCAACAACATTCGTAGATACAACAATCGTCCGCACGATGGCGGCGGTCCTGGCACTAACGGATCTGTTGGTTACTCATCGCCTCGCGAAGCTGTCAGTCTTGTCCCCAAAGCTGACCCTTGGTTCTTAGAAGCGTGTTCATCACGACGGGGAGTCAGCACGTATCAAAAAGCTTCACGTGTGAGAGAGAGCGTTCGGCAAGAAAGGGGGGAACAATGCCGCCCTACTAGCAAAAACCAAAAGAAACACGACCTCGCGATTCGTTGGCTCTTTTCACACAGGACGCGTGCACATCGCGGCACGGACCGCAGACAGAGTTCATGCTCTTGGATTCTTGACAAATCTCTCACAAACAAGAAACAGGGCCGAATAATAGTAACAAACCTAAACAGGACGGAAAACGACAATGATTGCTTTTCTTGTCCTTCTGTGTCCTGTGAGTGATTGTGGTATTGTCCCGAACGGGTGTTTTAGTCTTTTTTTTTTGTGGTTTGATGTATACTTCAAAGAGTTTTCTAAAACTCAGTACACTCTTCCGGCTATCTCGCAACTTGAAGGCAGGCACCGCAGGAGAAACAAAACAGGGTTAACCTCACCCTTCCTACTGCTCCAGTCGACGCGTCGAATGTATCTGTAGCGAACGGGCAGGCCTATCCACACGATAGACGAGACCAAAGCACACACACTCCGTATTTTCCATTTCGCACGCAATTTCAAAACAAAAGACGCCGACTCGCCCGCTAGTACCCCCCTCATCCTCCTTCGAGACAACCTAACCTTGGTCCAAAGGTTGGACGATGCAACCTTTAATGAAACAAGAGGTTAGCCTGAAAACACGGCCGGCGCAACAAGCTTAGCATAACCCTGCCTCCCGACGAACACGAGAACAACCATGGAAGAACCGCCGTCGTCTCTGAAAAATACAGGAGTACTTTCATGGGGGACAACCAACCCCACACGGCCGACAAGAAAACGAGTGCAGCATACGAGAGACGCAACAACAAAAACAGCCACAACCAATCGACCATCGTAACACGCGTTCTCTCCGTGCGTGCCTGAAGTCTAAATAAATGCCGCGGCTGCTGTCGTGGGAGAAGGCATGGGCTGCTGCCCCCCCCCCCGGCGGCTTTCCACTATCCCCCCCACACCTTCGCTATGTGCCCGCGTGGCTAAGGTTGCGTGGCCTTGCGCCTCTCCCACAGCCGCCCAATGGTGCTCTCTCTCTCCCCCCCTCCCCCCCTCTCTCCCTCTCTCCAGGCTCGAACCAAGAGGGAATGGAGAAAGCCCAACCGAAGCAGGCGGGGAACCCTCTCTGTCTGTCTCCATCTTTCTCCATCGGCATGTCACGAACACTTTCACAACCACAACGCACCGATGACGATTAAAACAGCAACACGTAACCAATAAGGGTTTATTTCCACGACAAAAACAAAACAGTCGAGCGCGCTTCCGCTCGGGCATGCCCTCCCCCGCTCGCCCGCCCGCGTGTCTACCAAGGGTCTGGGTCAGAAGCGGGAAGGCCGCTAAGCCCCCGGGCCAGCGGCCCTTGGCTCCACTTGGTGCGCTTCGAGTGTTTCCTGTAGCATTAGTTGAGAGTGCGAGTGTGTCCAGTAGTTGAGAGTGGTGAAGACCACCACGTGAAGCAAGACCACATAGAAGAACACGAAGTTCCTGCACGGAAAGCGGGCGACGCAGGTTAGGGGTGTGGGGGCGGGGGGGGGGTAAGGGGCAGATGTATTTGGTACGTGTGCCGCCATGCAGCCGCAGGTTGGCATGTGTGCTGCCATGGGCTTTGACATTAGACCTCGTAGCATCTTTCATCCTTACAAACCACAGGACATAGCACACGCGGGAGGTACACCTGACGAAAAAAATAAACGTCTGGATTCCATCATCACGAAAGAAGAAAAATACTAATCTTGTTCATCGACAAGACAAGTTAACGTTCCATCAACATATCTGAAACAAAAATGAAGGTTGTGCGTTCGGACCTGGCAAACTTGTTCCCAAGGAACATGCGGGTGGTATTCAGCGTGATCTTCTCCGCCACCGTGAGCTCCTGGTACTTGCGCTGCCGCTCCCGCTGCGAGAACTGGGTGAAGGGGTTGATTCTCGCCTCGTAAAGCTGCCCGTACCGAGCCTCCGTTGCCTTCCGCGAACCCCCCTCCTCTCCTTCCCTTGCTGCCCCGCGGCCGCCGCCGCCGCCGGCCTCGACGTCCCCGACCCCCGGGGTCATGCCTCCTGCGGCGGCGAGGACGTTGTTCTTGTCTGCCCCCGTGGCCCCTCTTTGGTAGCTCTGCAAGAACCGAACCTTTGCGGCAGACAAAAAAGGGCCGGGTTTTCATTTCCAAATGTCAAGGTTCACCAGGTCCTGTTATGGTGGCACACACAGGAATGGCCCGTGGCACCATCTCAACTCGGAATACGGACCCAGTTGCCAGGCTTCTGCTGGAAGCATTCACCACATACCATAGACGAAAAATCTGTCAAAGCCATGCTCAAGACTTGGGGGCGGTGGGGAGCAATCTCCCACGCTTCTGGCAGTTTTGCTAAGCCGCCCATGGGGCGTCGTAGACCGGAGGAGAACGATTTTTGTGCGGGTTAATACCATGGCAAAAAAGAAAAAATCGGGAGTAGCGTTTCAGAACCTCCCCAGGCAAGATACGAAAAGTTTGGAAACGCAAGAACAGCAACAGACAGCGGTCTAAAAAAGAACAGAGAGAAAAAGAGGCGATAACTTACCTTCTCGTAGAGCTGCAAGTTGTCCCGCTGGAGGTTCTCCATCACCCCCTGGGCGGCCCTGGCCTCCCTCTGCTCGTCCTCCCTCTCGGCCTCAAGCTCTTTGATACGCCGACGGAACCGATCGCGCTGGGCCTTTTGGTGTTTTATTTTTTTTGGGGGGGGGGGCGTGCAGGGGTCGGGGGTAACAAGAAAATAAGAAAGGAGGAGCTGGCATCGGCGTAAACAAACAGCTACATTTAGAACAAGGGAACAAGAAGAGCATAAATCTGCAAGAGGCAAGAGGGAAAAAAAAAAAAACAGGAGTGTAGGGAGGGGGTTCACGGGAGCGCCGTCGGTTTGAAAAAAAGTTTCGACATAGCTCGATGGCCAAAAAACAAAGCAATGAGCCCCGCTGAACAGGAACAAGGGGGCTCCGCGGACACGACGATGAAGGCAGGTCCTCTCCCATCCAATTGCGCTACAGAACGAGCTGCCACCTTGAAACTGTCACACTTGGTTAAGCAACCTTCGCGCTCCATGGCCGATGGGCGGGGAATCAATCCAACAAGGGACATATGTGTGGTAACCTTTCCAGTTGGGTAGGGTTCAAGCAAGTTCTATACCTTTCGTGATCATCAAACCTCAACTTCCAAAGCTACTCCAACTTCTTGAAAAGTGGAACTGGCGCATTCTGTGCTGCGGAGGACCAAGGGACACCACCATTCCACCGCGCGCACAAGCGCAACAGTAAACCACAAACGCACACACACACACACACACACACACAGCAAAAAGAAGGGAGAGGGAATACTTTCCGACACGCCATCCGGCTCCGGCGAAAAAAGATCAGATGAGCATTTTAGCACAACCACAACACCACAACACACCTGCACGATCCCCAGCACCCCATGGGTCCCAGCCTCACCCCCCACCCCGCCGTCCCCGCCCGCAGGCCCCCCCTCCGCCTCCCCGACCCCCAGCAGCTCCCGGAGGGCATCCGTTCCCTCCCCTCCACGCGGCGTCCCCGCCCCTCCCCCCCCGCCAGCCGCCGTCGCTAGGTCGTCCTCTAGGCGGTTGATCGTCTCTAGTCGCTCGGAGGCAAGGGCGGTGGCGGAGTCGAGAGCGCGCTGGAGGCGCGCGGCGTCGGCGCCTCGCTCCTCAGCGAGGCGGCGGGAGGAGGTGAGGTCGGCCTCGAGACGCCGCACTCTCCCTCGGATTACCTGTTTTCGTTTTGGTTCGTTTTGGTTCGTTTTGGTTCGTTTTGGTTTGCTTGGTTTGGTTTTGGTGGCGGGAGGAGGTGAGGTCGACCTCGAGACGCCCCACCCTCCCTCAGGTGACCTGTTTTCATGTTGGTTCGGTTCGGCTCGGTTCGGTTCGTTTGGTTTGGTTTTGGTGGCGGGAGGAGGTGAGGTCGGCCTCGAGACGCCCCACTCTCCCTCGGATTAACTGTTTTCGTGTTGGTTCGGGTTTTTGTTTGGTTTGGTTTAGGCGTTCTGCATGGTGTAGTGAATGATGCGTTTCGTTTTGGGTTCACGTTTTCGTCGTTTCGTTTGGTTTTGTTTTGGTCGTTTCGTGTCGTTTTGTATTGATGTCTTTGGTTTGGTTTGGTTTGGTTTGGTTTCGTTTTTGGTTCTCTTTTTCCTTGTTTCGTTTCGTTTTGTCGTTTCGTGTCGTGTTGCATTGGTGCGTTTCGTTTCGTTTTTCGTTGCGATCCAAATAGTTTCGCTTCGATTGTGTCGGTTCACATTTTTCGATGTGTCTTTTCGTTTATTTCCTTTCGGTTCATTTCGTTTTGTTGCTGGTGTCGCTGACTTGTGCCCGGGTGTTCGCGATTTTCCGCGGTAGGGCGCGTACTGCAGGGATAAAAACTGGTGGTTGCGGGTGCTGACCTCTCGGTCTTTGTTCGGGGCACCGCAGTAGGACACGCAAAAAATCCCACAAAACAACGACAGCAATCGCAACAACACTTTCTTGCAATCAGACCTCCCGTCATTCCCCTTAACCGAGTACCCCAAAGGTTCTTCATTCCAAGGTAATCTCCGAAATTTTTACTCTAGCCCTGTCTCTCGGCTCCTGGGAACTTCGGGTGAGGGCTCCGCCACACTGGCAAAAACTATTTTGCATTTCCGACAAATAACTGATAAATGACAGTCCCGTCCTGCATGTACAATAAAACGCACCAGGTCGACATCGCGCGCACAAGAGGGACTGGTACACACGCCGCTGGAGCTACTGTAGCTCTACCGTGATCTCAGGTCGCTACATACATACATAGCATCCAACCCCCCATCATCGATGCAAAGTGGTCGTTTCGACGATAATGCACTTTACTGTTAAAAAATGAATTTTCGTAAAAAGCAAGCATCTACTTCTTGACAACGAAATAATTGATATTAAGATGGAAGTACATTCTAACAAAAAATAAATCAAAAATGGCGGCGTGTAGAGTCGTGCTTGCACTGTGCAGTACAGTACCTGTTCCATCGTACGCTCGGCCTGGATGGCGGTGTGCTCGGGGTCCGCTCCATGAGGCTCGTCCTCACCAATCATGGCTTCCTCCGCTTCAGCACCCTTTCGTTCAAACAAAAAATGGGAATTGCGCGCGTATGTAGGTCGTGAGAAGTTGATCGCGCACCCGTGAGTTCTTTCGCGCTGTGACGGTACATCTGTACGTATGTCCATTGCCAAAACAGCACACGAAACCATGCAAAACGATACAAAAAATCACTTTCCCATCCTTTCTCGAACAAACCACAAGACCGTGGTATACCAAAGCAAAACAGTTCCGCCCAAAAAAAAAACATTTTTTCCACCCTATCAAGAACACTGAACACGAGCGTGGAACTGTACAAAATCAAACAACTCCGCAAAAAACTGAATCGACGGCAAGAAATCTACACAAGACGCATGTACTAAGTACTGTGCTGCTACCTCTTCTTCGTCATCGTTGCTCGCGTTGAACTCCAGCTGCTGCAGCACCCTCAGCTGCCGCCGAAGCGCCTTCACCTCCGACACCGTCGGTCTCGCCTCCAGCTCCTTCCTTAGCCCCGCCGCGGCCGCCGCTTCGACGGAACACGCCTCCTTAGATGTCTTCAACGCGGCCTCGAGAGATACCTTCGTTCCATAACAGACGGAGCAGAGTTGTTGTTGTTGTTGTTGTCTTCACATTGTTAACAAGCGTTCCGGTCTTCGCTCAGTACCTTCTAATGTCAGTACTGGTCCAACTGGCGCGGACGCCTTCCGTGGTCACAAGCCAACTAGAGTACAGCAGTACCGCAATGAAGCATGAATGGACTTAAAACAGGCTCGGCGAGTCCAAGGTATCTAAGGTAAGGGCTTTTAACAGCCTCGAATCAGTCAAGAATATCGCAAGCATAAACAACTCCTCGTTCGATGTCTTCAAGACGGCTTCGGGGGACGCCTTTGTTACAGAACAGACGAAGCAGAGTACCGCAATCAAGCATCAAAACGACAAAAAAATGAATGAGGCTTAAACAGGCTCGAGTAAATCCAGTACTGTATATAGTGGAAGGGCCTGACGGCAAAACTCAATTGGTCCAGAATATCGGAAGCATCAAATATGAAACAAGAGGCCCACTTACGCGGAAACAGACTCAAATACGTCCAGCGTGTATCAGGTGTCCTTCCGCCCCCCCCCCCCGTGTAAAAACTCGACACCTCCTTTCGAAGCGGCTACTATCTCAAGCGAGTAGATTCGACACCTTCATTCGAACGGGTTACTATCTCAAACGAGTAGATTCGACACCTCCATTCCAACCGGTCACCATCTCAAGAGTGTGAATTCGACGTCATGTATCATACAAGTGTATCCGAAGAAAAAAACATACGTGGCTGTCTATCTTGCGTTCACCAAACGCTGTGTTTGAGCTCTGCCGTGCCTCGTTCATGTTTGATGAGGGTGTCCCGTAAGAAGGTTTGTCATTATTGGTATCCTTTCAACCAGACTGTCAGGGGCACGTCTACACAAGGATCACGTGGTGCGTTCAAGCTCGGAGGTGACACAGTATTGTCTGGTGCCCTCCCTGAGCACCACTAATTACGCTCCGCACCCTTCCCTACAATGCCATGCAAAACGTAAGAAGAGAGAGGCTGCACATGAACTTGGTTGGATACATCCACAGGCACCAAGAATATCGGCGAACGTTGAAGCCCACACGGTAACCCAGACGGACTTGGCACACCCCTCCTTGAAACAAATCGCTCTGCGTGGTGGCTACATTGCCCGGGTTTGTCACAGTCACACAGTCCACCAACAGCACAAGGAGTACCGTATATGACACAAGATAACACACCCCCTGGACCGATTTTCAAAGCTCGATTACACCACGACAAAGAGGATGCATAAACGAAACGATACATTTTCGAGAAGCTCTCGACGAGACGTTTTCAACGCCGCCGTTATCGGCGCTGTGACTGTTCCTGCAGTTGAGAAATCGAGCTTCGAAAATTGGTCAAGGGGGTGTGTTATCTTGTGTCACATACGGTAAGCCTACACGGTACCCCACAGCCTTGGCACACCCCCTGTCTAAACGACTCTCTCTCTTTGCATGCCGGTTATACATTGCCCGGGTTTGTCACAGTCACACAGTCCACAAACAGCAGTCACATTGCCACAGAAGACAACAGAACAAGAACGACAACGACGACGACGGTTTCATCTCTGATCCGCCCCGAGCAGCCACAGACAACGCCCAACCGCACGCCGAGCGGCAACCGCCCAAGCAACAGCAAACAACCTCACGACCAAAATAATAACGTTTTCTGGCCGCCCCCGCTTGGTGATGTGAGGGCCTGGTCCGTGACAACCCGGCGTGCACCGTCCCGGCTTTGGAGGGATGCGAAGTCAACGGTCTAACGGCTACGGCACGCACGACTATGAGTACCCCTCCTCCCCCCCCCCGCCGTCTGCCGGCACCTCTCACCTTCTCCCCCCTCCACGCCGACGACCGGGCTACCAGCTCCCCGCGCGACTACGGCATGCAGGACTGTAAGTACCCCCCCCCCTCCCCCCCTCCCCCTGTTCGAAAAATTTGAATAGGTTGGCGTCGCGTGGCACCGACGCTGTAAAACAAGCCACCAGACCCTAGACATGAAATAACTGAACTAAGCAATTTATATTTTCCCATACCGTGACACAAACCCGCCAAGCCAGACATGAAAGAGCTGAACATACCGAGCTTTTATTTTCCCATACCGTAACATAAACCTGACGAGCCGACATTTTATTTTCCCATACAATAACACAAACCCGCCAAGCCAGACATGAAAGAGCTGAATTAACCGACCTTTTATTTTCCCATACTGTAACATAAACCTGACAAGCTAGACATGAAAAAACTGAACTAACCGACTTTCTATTTTCCCATACCGTAACACAAACCCGCCAAGCCAGACATGAAAGAGCTGAATTAACCGACCTTTTATTTTCCCATACTGTAACATAAACCTGACAAGCTAGACATGAAAAAACTGAACTAACCGACTTTCTATTTTCCCATACCGTAACACAAACCCGCCAAGCCAGACATGAAAGAGCTGAATTAACCGACCTTTTATTTTCCCATACTGTAACATAAACCTGACAAGCTAGACATGAAAAAACTGAACTAACCGACTTTCTATTTTCCCATACCGTAACACAAACCCGCCAAGCCAGACATGAAAGAGCTGAAGTAACCGACCTTTTATTTTCCCATAAAGTAACACAAATATGACAAGCCAGATATGAAATAACTGAATTCAACGAAATACATTTCCAGACGCTTACCATTTTTTTTTTTCACAGTTGAAAACGCAAAAGTAAGCAAGAGTAGAAGGTTATTGGCCACCTTACACACCAACACAAAAACGGAAACGAAGCATAAATATAGACACAGCAATCCTTTTGGTCAACTGTGCGATGCACATGAAGGTTGGGGACTCGTGGTGAGATAACCGTAAAACATTACCGGTTCCCATGGGGCGGTGGGAATCTGGTCAGACACTATCCTGAATTCTCCGCAAGGAGAGGGGTGGATAATGCAAGACAAAATGTCAGACCTAACAT